GTTCTGGAAGAGCTCTACAGGCTTTCAATTCATTGCAGCGTAATACTGTTCTTCAAACAAATCACACAGAAACCCGTATGCCTTCTCTGCAGTCAGTTAACTCCTTTGTAACAGTTGAGAGAGCACTGCAGCAGCAAATCTGGGTCACGCACCCTACAAAGGACAGACGACTACAGATGACAAGAACTTGTGTGCTCTCTGTTGCTGAAGAAGAGACTAAAATTAGCTTCTGACTCCTATTCGAATTAAAAATTACCCAAGGGGAAAAGAACTAATTCTCAAAAAGACAACTGTTACGTCTTAAACCCACACAGTCTCAACCACGTATTACTCCAACTAAAAAACAGAAATGCAAAAATAAAAAGGCGGTAGCCAAACTTTCTGGGAGAAAGGGATCATTTTCCCTAGTGTATCTCGGAAGGGAAATGTGAATGAGGTTATTGGGGACCCCAGACGAGTGTTCCTATGCCACTCTCCATACAGTGCTGCAGCAGCATCTCTTCAGTCTACCATCTCCAAAAATCTCAGTTTTCAGCTGTAGAGTAGTGCCATATACACATTTTGTCAAAAGAAACCTTAACCAAATGGATCTTACAAGACCAATGAATGAATTGGCTGCTAGCACAGCTTTGTGCAGGATCAGCATTTTCCACAAGCATTTATAAAAAGTGATAGCAGAACCAGAGAGTACGAATATTGCTAAGTGGCTGCCTGATGCCAAATGCTGTCAAGAACACACAAATTTGTTAATATAGTTTTAGATTAAGACAGCAAATCATATGCCCAGATTAAGGAATACCCTCTATTTAAGGCATAATCTCTCATTTTGCAGCACTGGGCTTATAAATCCTTTGCAGCTTTGGAGATCACCTTCTCCAGCAGAGCAGATGTAGTGATTTTTTTTTTTAATATCTCTGAGTATTAAGGGGTTTTCTCTAATGTTAAATAAAATGTTTTCCTAGCCAACAAGGACTATATGGAGGTGAAGGCGGATCACATTCTGCAGCAATAAAGCCTTATGTACAATATAAGAACAAAATGCAACTAAAAAATGATTGTTATAGGAAGCTTTGCACAAAGATGAATTCCTGTATCCCAGAAAACATTAAACAGCTCTGCCTGCACTCTTCCTTAAGAGAATCCCTGCCTAACATAGCCTAAATTAAAAATAGTCAAGAGCCTGTCTGGTATTTATTGGACGTTTTGGAAGCCATGCGTCTCTCTGAGGCTCCTCCTCAGACAGAAAGAGCTTTTGTTGCCAAAGTAAACTCTACCATGAGGTGGTGATGGCTGAAAATGACCCAGAGGTGAAGACGGCACAGCTGGGGGTTTTGCAGCCTCCGTTTCCTCCCCGGTGGGTGAGACCCTGTGCAACGATCTCCGTGCCTTGCAGCACTGCCTCTCTGAATGGGAAGCGAGGCCTGCAAAGAAGGATCTCCTGTTCCATAATCTCCTTTCCCATGAGCTCCTCTCCATTCTGGAGATAAATGGCTTCTTTTCAGCACTCTCTGCTTGGGTTTTGCGTAGCTGTCTGGTTTGTCTCAGACTTACACAATTACTGTCCTTGGTGGAGCTGCTTTAGCCACAGTTCTGGTGTAGGCAAGTCACTGAAACTTGAATTACCCAGACACGAAGTCTTTCTCCAAATAATGTCCCATAATTGTGGCCTGTGGGCATCTATATCCTCAGTCACAGTGATAGAAATGTTAATGGGTAAAACATCGTTAGTAAACAGAAAAAGAGATCTGTGAAGTCCTTGGAGCCTGGTGTTCTCAAACAAAATCTGCCTTGTTCTGGGGGGACAGATTAGGGTCTGATGTAAAGACAGAAGGATAGTTGGAGAAGATGGTACCTGTGTCTTTGTTTCTGCTTTAAAATGGAACTCAGGAAAAAAAGGAGAGCCTACCACCTTTGGAAGAAGGGGCAGGTGACTCAGGGGGACTACAAGGATGTTGTGAGGTTATGCAGGGAGAAGATTAGAAAGGCAAAGGCCCAGCTAGAACTTAAACTGGCCACCGCTGTTAAAGATAACAAAAAATGTTTTTACAAATATATCAGCGACAGAAGGAGGGCCAGGGAGAATCTCCCTCCTTTGTTGGATGCAGAGGGAAACATTGCCACAAAGGATGAGCAGAAGGCTGAGGTACTTAATGCCTTCTTTGCCTCAGTCTTTAATAGTCAGACTGGTCATCCTCGGGGTTTTCAGGCCCCTGAGCTGGGAGATGGA